TTGCCCTTCAAAACATGTTCTATTATTTTTTGCAGATTCATGCCTTCGTAAGGTATCTTTTCATAGCAAAGCTCCCATATGAGCATTCCAAAACTAAATTAAAAAAAATGGCAATAAATGATATATTCAACGTTCTTTTTTAAGATTGAACCATAAATACCTGAACATTTCACAATCAAATGTATATACTCTTTCGTTTTCACGTTTACTATCCTTATATTTCTCAATTAGTTCAGGTGCCATCCAACGAATAACATCCACCAATGAATCTTTAAGGTTACGAGAACGGTCATCTGTTTTACGTGCATGATGGAAATTTCCAATTTTTACGTTCAAGTCACGTAATACCTATGATGTAATATTAGTGATTGTCTTTCAAACACATTACATTACATTTAATTATACTTACAAACATGTTTTCACATCTAAGATCGTGATGAAAAACATTTACAGTACGTAAAAACGAAATACCACGACATATATCTTTAATAATTTGTATTTTTCTAGGCCAAGGAATATCATATTTATTATAAAGTTCTTTTAAAGTCCCTTTTTCAGCATATGCAAAAACCATAACTTCACGGTTATTAACATCCGAGCAACCATAAAAACGGAGTATGTGAGGTGATTGACTTATTTTGCTAAGGATTATCAATTCAGCTTGACTATGTTCGATGTTTTCAATGGGTTTGCATTCAACTTCAACTTGTAGTGGTTTATAAATCTTATAAATAGCATTGCCACGTACATCTTTACGAAAGATAGGATCCATCAAATCATTTTCAGTAATTTTGTTTACATAAACTTCACATTCTGATTTATTAACGTTGTTGTTAGCTTTAATGTTAGCTTTAATAATGTTTACGTCTTGTGCTAACTTTTCACATTGATCACCAAGCTTGCAGATAAGCTAAAATAAAAATAAAAAAGTAAAAATAAATAAATAAAAATAAATAAATAAAAATAAGATTAATTCTAAATAATTATACTTACATGACTAATTTCTTTTAGTTCTTGATCGATTTTTTCATCTTCTTCTTTTTGATCAACCATACTATCAACAACGATAGCAAAATGTAG